AGATATTCACTTTTCAAGGTTTCGAATTCAGCTTTCATGCGCTGGTGCGTGAAATTTCTAACTATTTTCCAGTGTTTGAACTATTTTTGCATAGACTAAAGTACAAAGCAGTGAAAATCATTAATAGGCAGTCTGGTTTTCAATGTTTGAACTATTTTTGCATAGACTAAAGTACAAAGCAGTGAAAATCATTAACAGGCAAATATCGTTATGGGCTGAATTGCACAAAACGCATGATCACATTGTGTATGGTCTGACCGACCCTTTTTCAAATCATGCAGTTATTTGAGAAGATAACCATAATTGCTTCCTGTCTCCACAAATTGAACTGTATGCGCTTCCCCCTTGCCCCACTGCTTATCAGAGACCTCAGCCTTATGAGGTGCTTATCGTCACAGTGCATTATGTCAGTCAAGTTTTTTAGCAGTGATGCAAAAGGTTATTTTGACATGGTGATCGCTGTTACTTGAAATATAATTAAGAAGATAGGGGCAATTCTGACAGCTGACTTGATGCTTACGCCGGGGTGTAGTCATTTTTGAAATTTGAAAGCAAGTTCAGCTGGCCTGATGGTACGAGTTTGATGATTCGGTGGTACAAGGCGCAGGGAGTTGTAAAGACCGAAGTGCCGCTGCAGTAGGCGAAACCTGTCAGGCTTTTTTCTTTTTTTGCAAGAACCTGCAGACAGCAGCGGACGAAATCTTTCCTGGTTTTTTAATGTACAAATTCCTGAATGCATAATTTCCCTCCACCTGACTTCTACTTCCTTCCGCATTCTTATATCAGAGCACTGGCAAGAGAGGCGCTGAGCTGCTTTTTATTACTCCTCCGTCTACCCGCTTCCTCTGCCTTTATTGAATTATAGCTTTTTCACGTATTTGACTCGTTTCCGAGCGAATCACCAGTTCGATGTGAGTAAAGTGACACACTGGGTCAGCCGTCGAAATTTATTCTTTTACGAGCTTAGTGGGAGAGGGGAAGGGGCATCTAGTGGAATTTGACTGTTCTAGTCGTTCGGATTTTCAGTACACGTTCCATGCATTTGTCCTTATTCATTACGCTGTCGATGCGCTACAGCCATTGAGATTTTGTTTTAGAAAGCAGAGTTATCGACAAAAAATGGCGAATTGGCAGCTGCCGAGGAGTCGCTGG